AAATAATTTTCTTATTGATGTACAGTGTATTTTTTAGAGCTTACAGTTTTCACATGAGAGCATTTCTAGCTTTTTGATCCAACAGTTGTAGAAGAACTAAAATAGTCAGAGGTTCCAATGATAAACATTTACAAATTGATGTGTATTTTGTACAGCTTATTATTTTCACGCGAGATTATTTCTAGCATTTTGATCCATCAGTCATTTAAAAAAAAAAGACATGCCATGGAGATGTGAATACATGTGAACTATTATAGCATGCTCTTAAAGAGTCATCAGTTGTTACTCTTAAAGAGTCATCAGTTGTTACTCTTAAAGAGTCATCAGTTGAATGGTCACTAAGAGTCATCAGTTGTATGATCTTCAAGAGTCATTAATTGTATGCTTTAAAAGAATCTTGAGTTATATGCTCTTAAAGAGTCATCAGTTGTATGCTTATTAAGAGTCATAAGTTGTATGCTCTTAAAAAGGGTCATAAGGTGTAAGCTCTAAGAGTCATCAATTGTATGCTCTTAACGAGTCATCAGTTGTATGCTTATTAAGAGTCATAAGTTGTGTGCTCTTAAAAAGGGTCATACGGTGTATGCTCTAAGAGTCATCAATTGTATGCTCTTAACGAGTCGTCAGTTGTATGCTCTTAAAGAGTCATCAGTTGTATGCTTATTAAGAGTCATAAGTTGTATGCTGTTAAAAAGGGTCATACAGTATATGCTCTAAGAGTCATCAATTGTATGCTCTTAAAGAGTCGTCAGTTGCATGCTCATTAAGAGTCGTCAGTTGTATGCTTATTAAGAGTCATAAGTTGTATGCTCTTAAAGTGTTATCAGTTGTATGCTCTTAAAGAGTCATCAGTTGTATGTTGTTATGTAAAGCAGCAAGTTTTATTGATCGTTAAACTAAACCTTAACCAGTTAAGGTTATCAGAATGACATCATTTGTTCATAGTATCAAGTTCCCTCAACCATTATAGCTAATCAGAATGATATCTTTTCGTCCTTACCTGGTTGTCTCTTAGCCATCCTGCCCTCAAAGGGCCAAAAGAAGAACCCTTGGTTTATCAAATAAATAAAAATGAATGAAATATTTTGGGTTTGGAGTGGACACCCTAAAACAATTCCATCGCTCGTCAGTGACACTACAATGACATCAGTATCAGGAATAAGAAGTAATTTTTCAAAATCTTGTTGACAATTTGGTCGTTGTAGACAAATTAAGTCAGCCACTGTAAATCTTGCAGTATCCTTTTCTAAAATGTATAACTTCATCGGAAAATGCCCAAAATACAAAATAAATAAACAAGTCTCCTTGAAAAGAGAGTTGTGCTATTGAATACAATTGAAAAGTTACTGTTTTCCTTTTAGTACATAAGGAAGTTGTTTTTATCATTATAAGTGGAGCAATAATATATCCTCCAAAGTAAATCAGTGGAGAAATCACTCGTACAATAAAGGCTTTTAACAACTCAGACAGAAATTTGAAAGTAAAATTAGCAAATATTTTTCAAGCAAATTGAATAACAGCTTTAAGTTTTCTTACAAAAAACTTGCTATTTTTGTAAGAAGTAAATCAAATCTCAGGTCAGGAGGGATTGAGATCTGAAAAATGTTAAATGTTGCTGATATTTTTATGAATGACTTTTCCGACTGAGGAAAAGTGTAATCATACAAGATCTTGATATCATTTCATTTTTGTGTTAATGGTAGCTACTACCCCACTGCTATATATTCACGTGTAACGTGTTCTGTTTTGATTTACAATGTTTTTTGTGTTCTTTTTTTAGTCACATTGTGGTGTTTTTTGATCATTTGATATGTTTGTAGTTATCTTTGATGTATATAGTTATAATGCACTATTATTATACACATTGTATATACATGTATATTATTTGAGGGACAGACAGGTTTTTGTCAAATTTGTAGGGTGTTTTGGTATAAATGTAAATGATATTGGATTTATTCCACATTCAAGACTAGTAGAAAAAACGGACATATGTATTTTTGCCGATGTCGACTTGGATAATTCGAACTACTTTTTATTTAAGCGGCTATAATTTCGTGTAATTCGAACAGGATTGACAGTATTTATTTAATTTTGTTCGAACTGACCAAAGGTTTACTGTATGTGTTTTGAAAACTTTCTTCTGTGTTTAAAATAAGACTTTGGCATACAGCAAAAACCTTGTTATATTGCCACAATTTTTCCCAACAAAATTTGGTGTTATAAAGGTGTTTGGGTGTTTGAAGATAAATTGAGGGATATAAAGGAATAACATGTTGGTTTTTTTTAAAAGAGAGAAAGTGGACTGTGATATATGTTTGCTGCATACAATGTGGCAAATGGTACGAGGGACATCAAATCAAGTTTTTACTGTTATTGCTTTCTGCTCAGGAGTTGGGGCTCCTCCTTTAAAAAAGCCTCTTTCCAGCACTCACTTAGTTAACCACTTGTATAATAAAGGTGATAATTCACTTCTGAAATTATTTCTTGTTTATAATTATGTTTTACTACAAGTTTTTTAAAATATGTAATCAATTGAATTCCATCAAGTCTGCGACCTGGAGACTTAGAAACAGCATTTGTCAACATAGCTGTACTTATAAGCCGTTCACACTGGACATCACACCTAAATCCTACAATTCAGGATTGACGATTACTTGAAATTTGGTGAATGATTTATCTAATCACAGACCATATATAAGATGCTGCATAACACAAAGCATTCACATATAATAATAATTCGAGGTTCTTATATACCGCTTTATCACAACCTAGTTCATAGGTCGTCTCAAAGCGGTTCACAAATTATTATCCGTGGTTATAGGACCTTGGCAACCAGCCAATATCTTTCTCAACTCCCAGGGGAGCATACAGCTGGAGCTGCCATTTCGGCGCTAACAGCTAGCGTTCAACATATGCTCTCCTTGTTTTCATTTTTTGGATAAAAACACATAAGGTCAGTTAGTAAATGGTACATGCAATTGTACTATAAACATTTTGGTAATATAAATATAATAAAAGCTGTAAATCAGTGTTTGGGAGTCGTAAATTTGCTACTATAAAAATGATACCCCTTCAGGAAAAGCGACAATGATTTTCAAAATAAGACAAGACCTAATCTCTTACAATTATAAAATCCTGTTATACTTGCCAGATTAGAATAAATCATAATCCTGATGTCCAACCAAGATGGGAATCAAACAGAGTATAGACTAGTAACAACTGAAACATCATTTTTTTGGAAACATTGAGCTATTATTCAATAAATTTCTCATGTAGATGCTGAGTATTGAATGTTTTTGCCGAGAAGTGAACATAGAATCAGGAAATATAACCCTCCCAAATATTGCTATTGTGCTCATCAGGCATATAACGTTCTACAAGACATGCACTAAATTTAGTCTTTGTGAAAGTACACGTACATGTAGTGACAGTGAGAAAGAGTTTTATTGGTACTGAAGGAAGAGCTCGATCTATCCTTGCTGATCTAGAACTTGTACAACGCATCAACTTTTGACCTTGAAGTTTGAAACATGATCCCAGGAATGTTATGCAGCACACCATCTTAGTATGACATACACATTAAATTTTTGAAATCCAAGAGTTTACACTTTCAGTATATCAGTACTGATTGCATATGTGATATCAACAGCAAAATTCTTAGTTTTCAAAAATGCCCATCTCTTCATGGTAACACGAGGCTGCCATTGTAGCGATAATTTCGTGACCAGTCGCTTCTGAAGAGGGAATA